TTTGTCCCATGTGTAAGCCGCCATTTTGTTTGCCGTGGCCACACCCACCACGTAAAGGAGCGTGGGCGGGTGGTTGCTAAGGCTTGTTATTTCTCCAATACAACGTGTATAGAAGAAATGTAAGTGTGGACATACAAATAAATAAATACATGTATATATATATAGATAGCGCGACCGTGAAATCAATTATAGGAACGACCTGGGGGCTACGCCCCCAGGTCGTTAAAAAATTGAAGTCGGAATCAGCTCAAACTTGCTACACAGCATAAGTACATCAATATGTACACAGTATAATTGGCCACACCCCCACTGACATCCCAATACTATTATTAACCTGAACTATACCATACCTTCATTATTGAAGAGAAGGTCTCACTCCTTGAGTCAGTGGTAGCCTCCTTCTTAAGTAAATCATCATTTAAACTGTTTATAAACTCAATGGATTTATCCTGTGAATGTATAATTAATTAACAAATAAATTATATTTAAATACATGTATAATGTTCACTCACCACTATTGCTATGATGTAGTCATTCCTAACTCTCTCGGTTAAAAAACTTGAACACAAACCAAACGGCCTGAAATTAATTATTAATAATAGTTATAATAATAGTTAATTAACCTAACCTTAATAAAAAGGACAGTATATTCACTGTTAGTTCTCCTTCACATATTCTCTTCTTTAAAAAATCAAACCCACCCAACTGGCCAAACAGGTTTATCAAGTCAACAAGACGACCCTATACAAACAAGTAAACATGTAAACAAATTAACAAACAAACAAACAAACAACCTTCATGTTGTGTTTATGAGCGTCAGGGAGTGGCCTCGCATACAGTAACTCCTCCCACTTCTCTCCCTAACAAATAAACCAATACATTAACACATGTACATGTACTTTAATACCTATATGTATTAATATATTAATATACTGATAATACCAATACACGTATGTACATATACATGTACACATGTACAGTACAGTGCAATAAAAAAGCTAAGTAGCGCAGAGAACTTCGTAGGTAGTTTTTTACTTCGCTACTCTTCGTTACTCTTCGCTGCGCTATGCCCAGGAAGTACTGCAGTACTGCCCAGTCACATGTTCTGTAGTAGCAAGCGCTCACTCGCTCCAGAGGCTCTTAAAAGACTTGAGGATGCTTCTCTTGGCTGTCTTTGCTCTCCAAGTTCATCTCTACTGCCGCTCTCTGCTTTTAGAAGCCAATTCAGGAGGTTCTTTGCTCGATTCTACCGTCAAGGTACTGACCATGTGAGCTACGGCTACTGTTGGCTATGCGCATGCACAGAGAAGAAGCAGCGAACTACCCAAGAAGGGTAGAGTAGCTACTTAGCTTTTTCATTGCACTATACTGTACATTAATATACTGGATACATGTACTAATAGATGTAGTACATGTACATGTACTTTAATACTTACAT